GGATGGTCAGGAGGAATATATCATCAAGTCCATCCTTGATTCTCGTATTTCTAGGGGGAAGCTGCAATACCTCATAGACTGGAAAGGTTATGGTCCAGAAGAGAGGTCTTGGGTTCCTGGTATAGACGTGCATGCTCCTCGTCTTCTTCGGGCCTTCCACGTTCGTTTTCCTTCTAAGCCAGGTCCCATCCGCCCGGTGGGCGTTTCTAGAAGGGGGGGTACTGTCAGGGTACCTGTTGGTGATGTATCCAGGGAGGACATCCTCTCTGCTTAGGGGCTCCCTTCCCCTAGCATTTCGGCATATTCCGGCCGTTTTCGCGCCGGCCGCGCTAGCTCCTCCCCCTTTTATGACGCGACGGCTAGCGTCGACGTCATGACGTCGGCATTTGCATAAAGTGCCGGGAACCGCTATTCCGGACCTTTTGGGGGCGTGGTCTCTATTTAGGTAACAGGGTATTTAAAGGAAACCTTTACTACTGCTCATTGCCCTGTCGTGGTTCTAGCTTGCTAGTCACTCAGCGCGTTCTTTATCTTGTGTTTCCGGTTTTGACCCTTGCTTGTCTTTTGTCCTGTTGTCCTCTCCTCTCCTTTGACTCGGCTTGTATCTCGCTTACCTGTCCTCCGGCTCCCTTGACCTCGGCTTACCTTTTGACTATTCTTGCTTTGTCCTTACGTTAGTCCGGCCATTCTAAGGTCCGGTATACGTACCTCCTTCTGTGCGCACTCTGCGTATTGGATCCCTGTCAGTTTCCTGACAGGTTGGACAGAAATTAGCCGTATGAGCCATGGAGGAGCAGTATGCACAAGCCGGCGTTCTTAGACCTGCGAAGTGTCTGCAGAAAATGACCATATCAATCTTGCTCCAGTTGGACCTTGTCCCGTACTGGGAGAAAGCGCCAGACTTTGGCAGAAAAAGATCTATGGTAATCATAGAAAGCTGACACACCATATTTGTTGCCCAGGTCCACCAGCTTGTGCATATACAAATCAAACTCCTCACGTTTGTGGGGATATACTGCACAGATCACATCACGATAAATGCCAAATGCCAACACAAATTCAGGGATGGTCAGTTTCCTGTTTAATCGGGCATCCCTAGATTTGACCACCACAGAAATATCATCGTAAGCGTAAGTCTTATGTTCCACCACATCCTGAGAGGCAATCAGCAATGAAGCCAAGTTGACATCTTTACCTTCCAGGATATCTCTTTTAAGGTGCTCAGGTATCATATGAGCAGGGTTAACCTCTTGATCGTCAGAGGTGGTGGCTGGAGAAACTGATTGCAACTCAACCATTGCTGGAGGTGTCGCAGCAGCTGACCCAGCCATGGTAAGGGCTGTGGTGACCGATTCTAGTTTCTCCAGCCTGGAATTGACCTTGCTCATGGATGCCATGAGGGATGAGAGCATGCCGTGTATGTCTCCTGGGTTAGACTGGCTAGTCCCTTCCCCGGCATCAATGTGTTCGGTAGAGGTGTGCAGTAACTTGTAGAGTTCCGCTTTCCTTGCTGTTGCGGGGAACGCGATATGTCGTCTCCTGAGTTCATTGGTTATGCTAGGGATTGTCCATTACCTGAAAGATGCTGGACTAGCCACCTCTCCTCCCTGTGATGGGGAGTTTGCTCTAGCCGGGGTGCCCGGTAGGGAGAAATCCTCTACCCCTTCTTGAGACATACTAAATGACAAAATATTGTGGTTAGTGTATGGAACTTAGGGATAGTACTGGCAGGCTAACTAGGCCTTGTTTGGTGACAGGTGAGGCCCTGCTAGTTGCCAAGTGGCTAAGAGAGGCTCTGTCTATGCGTTGGCGCAAGGGGATATTGAGGCCACCCGTCGTAGTGGCAGAAATCGTAGGCCTCTCGGTGATAGTAAAAGAAGAACAGGGGAAGGGAGTGACAGTTGAGGCCCTCTCTATAGTATTGCGAGGTGGCTAACTCACGTGTGGCCCGATGGGTTTTTTACCTCCGAAACGTTGAGGCGGGGTGTTGGCCTCGCGGACCACTAAACGATAGGCAGAATGCCAAGAAGGGAGATACCTATTGGGCCTATACCCCTAACTTGCCAATACTCTATGGCCTATGGAAAAAGAAACGTATGCAAACTACAGCATGAACAGGGTTTGACCAGATGATACGTATGTCACTAAATGATGTGGGAAATGCTAGGGTTTGAGTATTAAAAGTGCAGGGAGTTTATGAAATGAAAATGTATGGAATATATATATGTGCCGTGGCATGACTGTGATAATGTGGAGGAGGTTGAAATGTGAAGTGACAACAAGTTTGTGTAATGGAGACGTATGAAAGGTTGAATCAAAAAAACATGTGATTCAACCCGAAATCTGTGAAAGATAAGACCGTGTTCTTGTATACTTGTGGTATGTCGTCTGAGTATGTCAATAAATGGTCTGAAACATGTAAAAGCCATGTGAGCCTGATGTACATGGTTGAATAAAGGCATGATATGCATGAGACTTTAGAATAAGCCATAGGTCATACGGTAATATACCCCAAAATATCTATGACTATAAATTAATTATAAGTTAAACCAATATACATGAGAAAAATATGACCAAGTGCAAACCTAATGTGATATGAATAAGTATGCACATACAGGTATGACAGATCCAAACGAATTCACAACAGTACATGGAAGGGCATATGAACCGAATTTATTCTATTAAACATAACCAGAGTAGCCGTATGAAAAAGTGAAACGAATGTGTGCATAACAGAACAAAACTGCCGAAAGCTTCATTAGAAAGAACAGAGAGAGCAGTGTCATTCGTCAAGTTTTACCGACCTAGGTGCAAGATATGTAACGATTGAAATTAAAAACCGAATGGAAGGCAGCATGAATGCGTGCTTTCGGTAAAATGCATGTGGAATGAAATGACACGAATTGGTGTGCGTGAACACCATATACAATACAATGAAACATACCGAAAGGATTATATGCACGAATATAAGAACCAAAATGGGAGAATTTGCGACCTTGCCGTAATGCCGGAGCGCCGTAAAGTGAGGACCCGTCGTAAAATGAAACGCCGTGGGAATGATCCAGGCGTCGGACTTACGATTATGAAGCCCCTGGGATGTTATCTTCGACGAAGACCGGAGTATACCAGGAGCTGGACGGGCGGAAAAACCTTCAAGAGGGCTTCCAGGACACAGCTGCACTTTGAAGAAAACATGGGTTTCTGAAAACCAAGATGGCGCCGTATGTGAACCGGAAGTGGATCCTCATGCAGCGCTGACCTCGAACGGTATGGAGCCAGGTAAGGGGTGTCCCTTAAGTAGGGAAGGTGTGTGTCATACGCCCCTCCCACAATTACAGGCCAAAAGGCCTTAATATATATACATATAAATATATATATAAATACATATATACATACACACATTTTTATTTCCTATATATGTATAATATATTATAAAACACTTAAAGCCTTTTATAATGTATTATACATATATAATGTGTGACGAGACCAATCTCGCCACATTGCATTGGAGAAGCCTGGTTGCTCGCCTGCTGCCTTTGGACTATGGCCCCCTTTTAAAAGACTTTATTTTTCCATGCAGAAAAGCCATATTCATGCTTTTCTGCCGGTTGTTCGGTAGTTTCAATCTACCGAACAACCGTACGAATGACTGGACCACCTGGGAGCTGGAGTGTGCCGGCAATTAACCTCCCTGAAGCTGCGGTTAACCACAGCTTAATTGATGAACGCTGGGTGGCCGCCGTTCGTATCCCGAACACGAGGTCGCGGCCATTTTAAACCATACGAATGAACAGCGGTGTTCGCCTCTATTTTCATGGAACTAAAATCGGACACAGTTTTGCGCGAACACCGCTGAAGCCGACGACCTCCCTTCTTGTTCGGTGAAAGCACACGAATGACCCGGTGTTCGGTATTTTTGTGTGAATGTCTTATACCCCAGATAGGAATCCCATGGAGCCCCTTCGTATGAAACTGACTGTAAAGACTTTGGCTCCGTGGCGATTGAACTGTATTCGTGTAGTCTGAGTGCCATTCACCTAATAATGTGCACTCAGACCTGAGCTATCTGGGGATGTGTTACATGCCTGTGTTTAATGTAGTAAATGTTACTTTGTGCATTTTAAAGTATAATGCTGTTTTGTGTTCCCACGTGTGTAATGGAGTTTTGTCTTTGTCTTGGGAGATAATTGAATTACTTCCCAATTATCTCCCAGGGGAGAGGGGAGGAAGCCAGGATGCATTGTGGGAATATACTGTGACTGTGTGTCCTATTTGTATACTTGTCTGTCCCTTGTCACAGTCTCCCATTTGGTCCCCTAGGGGAGTGTCCACCAGGTGGGAGACCTGCATAAAAGCTGGGCAGGTAGCCCTCGTTAAACAGACCACTGCTTGACCCTCAACACAGAGCCTTGTCTCGTCTTTGGGGGGGATTTACTGTATGCTGCTAAGGACTGATTGCCAGGAGTGTAAGCCGCTTGGAAGCTTTTCCTGTTCGCCTGCTAGCAGCTATTCGTATGGTTCCTGTTAGTTTATTTGAAGTGCTACCTTATTCCCTTGTATGCCGTTCGGGAGTTTGGAGCATTCACTTATTGGCGGTTCGTGAGTTTTGGTGATTCCACAGTAGCTGTGCCTGTCTCTGAAAGGGGGATTATCGTCTAAGCGGTTTTTTCCCCTTTTGTGCAAAACGGTCCGTTACAAGGACCATCAACACTTCAACCACCATACATCCTTAGACGGGGATTGTACCGTCCATGCGCTATACAGCAGAGCTCTAATTAGCTCTAGCATATGTGAGTGGTTTTCTTATAGCGATTACTTATCTTATTTTGATTGTACCATATTGTATTGCACTATTATTAGTTTACTACATTTCCTCGAAGGTTTATGTATGTATAAATTTTAAGGCGCAGTATATGCTACACTCTATTTATATATATATATATATATATATATATATTTTTTTTTTTCTACAACTGCATTCATATATATTTTATTTGTTTCAAACAGAAGCTAATGAAATGCGAAAAATTATGGCACATTCAAATGCTGGTAAGTATACATCTGCAGTTATAGTTTTTCTATATAAGAGTTTCACAATTCATATCACTGTAATAGCCATCTTTTTGTTTTCCTAAAGAGTGCGTATGCATACCTCCTAGATCTAGTAGGTGACAATTCTTGAGAATTTGTGTCTTTGGGTTCTGTTGCAATTACTTTTTAGTAGATTGACTTTAATATGTAGGAGCAGAGTGTGAATTACAAATATGGACCCCCTGCTTGATCAGGGTAGTCAGTCAACTTTTGTTAGCATATATAACAATGTTAACACTAAAAAAGGTGCTGTAGATGCAGGATGAAAAAAGTCATCTAGTAAAGAATGAGATAAAGAAAGAAAATACAACCAGTACCAAACTCCAGTATGTGGTAGGGATTGAAGGAAAAATTGGCTGCTTAATGAAGAGGAAGAAGAAAATGGGTCAGAGACAGAAAGGGGATATAGGAAGTAAAATATAAAACTAAAGAAGGCAATATGTGTGGTATACAATCTTTTCCTGAGCTGGTCACAGAACAAACACATTCTCATGGGATCATAGAGATATAGAGATTAACCAATATGGGGATGGCCTTGAGTCAAGGTGAAAGCTATACATTTTTCCATAAACAGCACATATACATTTTGAAACTTGTTTATGTAAGCTGGTTTCTTATAGTGTTCTTTGTAGTATCTACTCTAACTTGTAACTTGATAGCTATATAGTAATTCTCTCTTTGGGTTTACCCTATTTTGACCGTGGACTGGAAAAAAAGGCTACTCCTATGCCAGTTCCAAGATTGGCAAAAATGTGTTCCCATATTGGTTTAACTAGGCTGCTATGCCAACATAGGCATTTACATGTAGATATGGCTAAACCAGAGGGGATTGGAAGAGATGACTACAAGGTGCAAACTGTTTGGCAGATAGAGCTCGAAAGGATTTTTTCCACATTTGAAAGATTTTTTGAATAGCAAATCATCATGGTAGAAAGAATCAAAAAGAATCAAATATCTTACATTCCCTATTGAATCTAACACAGTTTTTATTGAGGAATTATGTGTTAGAAACTTGGCCGAATTTTATAAGGTACAAACTGTTATCTACAAATCCCAACTATGTTTAGCTTTAGCCAGGGCCGGTGCAAAGATTTTTGGGTACACAGGTGAAGATGATTTTGGTGCCCCCCCAACCCCGTCCCAAAAAAGCATCTTCACCTCTTAAACCACCTTTTGTTTCTTATCCTCTCCTTTAAATGTCTTATCCCCTTAAGTGTCTCTTATGCCCAATGTTTCCTCATTGTGTGTCTTACACCTCCCTTGTGCATCTCTTAGAACCCCCCTTATGTGTCTTACTCCTCCCAGCCCCTTTGTGTGTGTGCTTCTCTCCCAGCCCCTTTGTGTCTTTTACTCTTCCCAGCTCACGTGTGTGCCTCTTTTTCCTCTTCTCCAGCGCCTCTGTGTCTCTTTCACACCCAGCTCCTTTGTTTTCCACCCTCCAGGGCCTTCTGTGTGTCTCTTACATCTCCAGCCACATCTGTGTCTTTCTACCCCCTCATGACCCTCTGTGTGTCTCAGGGTGCACCGGCCTGGGGGGTGTTAGATTAGAGTGACCCAATAGGAGGGAAGCGCACAGCACTCCCTCCTGCCAGTCACTCAGTCTAGCATAGCCGAGCGGAGCACTTCCTGTCAGTCTGGCCGGGTACAGGAAACAGATGCTCCTGTACCGCGGTTCACTCTGCTCAGCCATGCTACACTGAGTGACTGGCAGGAGGGAGCACTGTGCGCTTCCCTCCTGTCGGGTCACTCTAATCTAACGCCCCCCAGGCCGGTGCACCATGAGATGGCCGCCTGTGCCACCATATGGACACACTGGCCCTAGCTTTTACTGATATGTTCCAAGAAGTATCCAAGAATGTTCAACATGGTGATAGAGTTTGGTTAGTAAACCTCATTATTCAACACAATGTTAATGAAAATTTTCTGGTTTTTTTTTTTAGCATCTAATGTAGCCCTCAAAGGGGTGACATCCCAGTCTAGTACTTATGGAGCAGGTGATCCTAAAAAAGCTGCAGATGGTTCCTTGAAAAACAAAGATCCAGAGACTCAATGTGCTAAAACAAAAGAGAATCTTGATTCTTGGTGGACACTAGATTTGCAATCAGACCATAAAGTGTCTTCTATTGCCATAACCAGCAGGGCGGACTGTTGTGAGGAAGATCTCGAAGGGGCAGAGATTCACATTGGAAATTCTGCAACTGGCTGGAAAAAGAACCCCATGTATATATACAATATTCTATTATTTATTTATTTAAAATTAGTTATTAATAATATCTTGAGAAAAATAGAAATGTTACTTAACAATTTCACCATCAAATACTATTTTCAAAACTAATTAGTCAATATGTGTTAAAGTAGCTGTAAGATTAGCTAATGTAATCACAGTGGCACAAAAATAGCAGTCTCTATCAGTCTGCTCTTGTTAGTTCCAAAAATATGCAGACAATATACAAAATTTTATAAGTAGTAGGTACAGTTCAGGAATAGAAACATGAGCATGAATAGAAAGCAAAATCGCACGTTATTGCCCAAGTCTCGACCAGTGCTTTCTCTGACACACACACACGTCTATTGTAGCTCAGTTTTAATAGGATGAAATCCTGGGTTTTCTTCATGAAGACTCGAATGAACCCAAATTCTTTAGTAGGAGCCAATACATTTAAAATTCTGCTTCTCAAGAAACTGTGATATAATGGATCATCTCTCTGGCAGTTAATTGCAAAGAGTGAGTGTAACGGACCACCTGGCACCCCTACTGGGCACCTCCGTCAACGGATGCTTCCTAGTGGACGCCGATGACTATAAGCACCGCACCAGACACCATCAGCACTGCAGAATCCACAACCGCCATAGCTTAACAGGAATCTCACTGTCTCCCTCCCACCCTGGACCCACCGCTGATATCCAGGACCGTGTGGGAAAGATCTCTCTTCCAGGAGAGCGTAACAGAAACAGCTCTTACAAGAGCTAATGATTATCCAAGGGAGTATAATGAGTATAGCAATCCCTGGTAGTGATATAGCAGCTTCCTACAATAAGAGACAGAACTCAGTATTGAGGGCGAAGAGGTCTGAAGGTTTAATGGTACAGGTTGGCTTTATATACAATTCCTCAGGCCAGAGGCACACCCCCTGGACCTGATGGAGCACTGCATTACAAACTGTACAGACCAATAAGAACAATATACCAACGTATGACACTCCCACATACAGCACACAATCCCTCCCTCTGCCTGTGATATAATTAAGGTAGATAATGTACTAACTTAATTATCCCCAGGCAGAAAAACACATTTTTACACAAAGAATAGAAAACACCCCAAAACATAACATATCCCCATAAAAGTTTTCAGAGCAGGGGTTCAGGAAATTCATGGAAGTCTCTTTTGACGGACCGCATGCATGGTTTCATGCCCAAAATAGTTCCAGAGAATTAGGCTTTGCGGCCGGTCTATTTCAAAACAGTCAAATTACCATTCGAATTACCGAACGGAATGGTGAATGGCCATAGTTGAAGTGTGTTTCTTGTTTGTTGGCTTCGATTCACCGAACGTCGTTCGACTATAGAAATGAATAGTCTAATTTCTCTGGAAGGTACTGTTCAGCGGTGTTTGTGCCGTTGTGTATCCGATTTGAGTTCCATGAACTCTACGACAAAACACAGCAGAACATGTTCGACTAAATATGATGGCCACCGCCACGTGTTCGACTACTTCGACACTTCGACGGTATACGAGGTGCCATTTTGGAGAACGGGAATGGAAGGAGTTTTAGGTGAACAAATAGATGAACCAGCAAGGGAATGGAATGGTTTTTAGGTGAACAAACAGATGAACCAGAGGATAGATTTATAACCCAGAGACAGAGGATCTGTCACAGTGAACTTTGCATATGTTCTAGTAGGATGACAATTGGAGTAGTTTTAATAATTACTGTGTGCACCAGTTTTGGAAACGAGACTGGAGACAAAGGATAAATATGGTAGCAAAGTGGCTAGGATTGATAAAATCAGTATGTGTATAAGTGTATCATGTTCATCAAATAAGTAAATGCTGTATATATAACATCTTCATGTATCTGTCACAATTTTTTTTTAATTAACGGGACTGAAAATAGAATTGCAAAATGTATGCTAAAATAGGCAAGCTGTGAATATAGCCAGGTTGGTAAATTTATCTAAATTAGCTATTTTGGCCTAAAGTTTTCAGTCTTGGCTTCACTTCACTACAATTCTGTTTAAGGAATAAATGCCACAATCTTTGTAAATCTTATGTTGCAGCATGTTTATGTTTCTGATATTGATCTTTCTTTCCCATAACAGTTGTGGAACCGTATTCTCTATCGGCCTTGGAGAAACCTTTTCATTTCATTGTGACGGAATGCAAGGTCGATTTGTTACTATTGTGATTCCAGATAAGAATAGGTCACTTACCCTTTGTGAAGTACAAGTGTTTGCTGTACCCATAGAGAATCCAAGTGAGTTTAAAGCAAGATTTTCATTGCATTCTTGGATGTATTATACCAGTAGATGAAGCAAACTTCTTTATATCAGACAGAATTGATGGGGCTAGATAAAACTGGATTCCAGTTTCCCCATCCTAATAATAAGATTTTGGGAAAGGAAATATTCCCAAAAAGGGGTTAATTCCATTGCTTTCAAACAATACAGGTAACTTTTAGGTCACTGAAACGTATATACCCTGTGAAAATAACGGTTTAAAAAATACATCATATCAGGTTTTCAGGGGCTTTCTTCATAGTGTCTTCAATGTGACTTAAATCTTAATGGGCAGAGACTTGAGCAGTGAGACCGCAGAGGCATGATCACTACACAAAAACTACTTCAATTAGCTAAAGTTGTTTTGGTACCTGTAGTGCCAAAATAGCTGGCATTTGCAATGTTTTTTCTTATTTTCTACTATAATTGTATTCTTTTTGTGCTATTCCCCTGATATGGAAGACAGGTTGTTTCCTTTAAATAATTAACTGGAAAAAAAAATTATATATATATATATATATATATATATATATATATATCTATATATATCTCAAACATAAAATAACATACCGGTATGTGAAACCATCATGTGTAAAGTGTTTGTGGCTGCACAAAATAAGTTATCAGTTAAAAACAGATCATGTCTAAGGATTAACTTGTATCATTTTTCCAGCTGGAGAAGAGTGGGATGGAGATTTTGAAATGCAGAAGCAACACCATGGTGGTAAGATATCTGAAGTGTGTATGAACCCATGCTTTGGAGCGGCAGTCTCTGTCTCATTCTATGATGTTTCATTGATAGATGACGGCACGGTTTAAACATCGATAAGAGAGGTCGTGAGAAGCTCAGGGCAAGTCCTTTATTTGCACCCTCCTGGATCCATAGTTCCCATGTTGCTGACAGTTTGCTGCCCCTTGCCTAGGAGTTTTCCTAGAAATAATAATAAAAGTGTCTAGGGACCCAATAATTTTAATACTGAAATAGCTGCAATATATGGGATGGTTTAAAGTGTATTAAGGGGTCTGTTCACCAAAAAGTGAATTGAGGGAATGGCAATATCCCCTTGTGTGTATCTCCTTTGTGTGTCTTCCCTTATCCCCCTTTCCATGTGGTGTGCTTCAACCCTGTTTACCCTCTTGTTTCTCTAAACTCACAATTACTTCTTGTATGTCGCTTAATCCCCATTGCACTCCCCACACAGTCACATGCACAGGTACCTAGATATGCAATTGTACATGCAGTCACATACACACATGGACATATACACAATCACATAAACACACACAGTCATAATTGCATAGACATATGCACAGTCACATTCATAGACAACAAACATACATAATACCAAGTACGCACACACAATCACATGCACACCTAGACACACAGCAACAAACATGCATCCAATCGCACATATAATCACATAGACAGAGTCATTCACATACATGCTGTGCCAGTCACATAAACACAGTCAAACTCTCAGTCACACACGCACAGTCTGTCACGTATACGGTCACATACACAGTATGTGATATACACTGTCACATACAAACACAGTCACACGCTGTAACAGTCACAAACACAGTCATACACACATAATCGTACATATGCAGTTACACATACTTTTGTTAATTAAATTTTCCTCTTCTTCACCATATCATTATTAGTACCAGTGGTGGAAGGCGGGAGGCTAAGGTCCCTGGTGTAATGGGGAAGCAGAGACTCCTTCCTGCTTCCCCCCTTCTGTCTGAGGCACAATTTCAAGTCATATTAGTCATATTACTCTGCACCTGCTGACTGTATGTCAAGAGGACGCAGTTCCCAGTCCGCCTCTGGCTGTCGGTGGGGAGCCGGGAAAGGAGCAGGTCCAGTCAGCCCTGTGGTGTTCTGTCAGTCTAGCACCTGGAAACAATTGCCCCCCTCTTCCTACCTCACCTCACCAAATCAGTAGGTTTAAACATTAAAGTGCCATAGTGGGTTACAACTAGAGTTTATTTTACTGGCCATGTCATAGGATGTAAAGCAGTGAGTGCATCAGCAACACACCTTACACCTCTAAAGAAATGGCTTGCTTAATGTGTCAGTGTGCACGTCCAGTTGATTAGCTGTGAACAGAACTAAAAATAATAATGTTCTAAAATAATAAATAAAATAAAATTAATTATTAAGGAAACAAGCTTCAAAAGTGACTTTCATGTCTCAGTGGCCTTTGATAATGCTATTAAAAAGAACACCATACAAACCAGCGAGCCTGCAGGACGCACTCTGCTAGAGCTCTTTCTACTGGGCTACAAAACCGACAGATAAATTGGGCTGCAGAGCCACAAACCCCCCGTACGAAGGCTCACGGCACTGGGGCAACCCGCCGGAACAGAATGATACCCAATTCGACACCCGGGATGACTGGACAACATATGGGCAAACTGAGACCTGACACGGTAGGTGGCGAGGACAGACGGCCGCCTTCCTGCCAACCGCAAGCAGCAATAAAAGAGAAAACCATGCACCCCTCCTCCCCCATGGGGGACATCCCGGTACTCACCAGAAGGAGAGCCGCGGGCCCTAGACCCCGCATCTAAGCTTGCGACTTACTCAAACAAAGAGGGACCCTGGACCTCCAAGATGGCGGACACACTTGCGAAAGGTCAGAGGGGAAAATCGAGCTCCTCTACAACCGCATCTTTGAAGCACTGTGGACAAAGCTGGAGGCCCTCATGCAGACCCCCAAAACGGGGTCCACACCAGGCGGCGCACCGCATGGCCCAGGACGCAGCCGAGGCGCCCGAGCCACGCGGGCACCGGCAAACGGTGCAGTAGCCCACAAGAGCCCTTGCAACCCACGACATCGCCCACGGACGAGGTGACCACAAGCAGCAGCAACAAGGCAACGAGGATTTAAACGCCAGGTGGCAGGGTCAGGGGCAACAAGCAGGAGTTAACCGACCAAAGCCGACATGCAGCACCCGGGTAAGAACATCCCGGCCACACACGGGAAGACCTCCCAAGTCCCCCATGACCCGAAAGAAACATAGACATCCAAACCGTGAAAGGCACCAGCACCGAGTACGGGGGCTACAGGGACCACCAGACCCTGTCACTGCTGGCTCCGAAAGGAAAGGCCTGTGGAGCCGACATACTAAGCCTCACATCATGCCCCCATCTAGCCACAACTCACCCCCACAGCCCGGACCTGAGAAGCCACGATTGCTGCCTCAAGTCACCAAGTTAGTGCAGGGGAAAGCCACAGCACGAAAGAGACACCTGCCAAACACCGGGGTAGGATGAAGCCCAAATCTGCGAACCTAGAGACTGAAAGCCATGATCCCAACAGACACAATATAATTTTAGGACTGGACTTTTTCATGGCACTATCACTCAAAAGCAAACACACACATATTCGATACCAATCTACCCAAAACCTACGTACAATCCAGCACAACACAACTACATAGCACCATAACCCACTACACTCCATATCTATTGCTAAGATGAATGTGCATGTGGAGCCTTGCCTCTTTGTCTCTCCTCTGGCCTCTTCTAACACAATGCTACATACCTTCCTATGAGTATAAACTTAAAGGACCACTATAGGCACCCAGACCACTTCAGCTTAATGAAGTGGTCTGGGTGCCAGGTCTAGCTAGGTTTAACCCTTTTTTTCTATAAACATGTTTATATTAGGGTTAATCCAGCCTCCAGTGGCTGTCTCATTGACAGCCGCTAGAGGCGCTTGCGTGCTTCTCACTGTGATTTTCACAGTGAGAAGACGCCAGCGTCCATAGGAAAGCATTGTGAATGCTTTCCTATGAGACTGGCTGAATGCGCGCGCGGCTCTTGCCGCGCATGCGCATTCAGCCGAGGAAGAGGCGAGGAGCAGGAGAGCTCCTCGCCCGGTGCTGGAGAAAGAGGTAAGTTTAACCCCTTCCTCACCCTAGAGCCCGGCGGGAGGGGGACCCTGAGGGTGGGGGCACCCCCAGGGCACTATAGTGCCAGGAAAACGAGAATGTTTTCCTGGCACTATAGTGGTCCTTTAAGCGTACCAAACTATGTTGTATGTAAAACTAGCCTTGAATGTCTACCACTAACCATAAATTGCTGATGTCTCATAGCTGTTAAACGTTACTTATTCTATTGCATTTAATCTTGACACAAATATTGTTTAACCAAGCCTGAATTCAACACACAATGAACTCTCTTCATATAAGAATGTTCAATCTCACCTTAAATATAAAATGGGCACATGTCTCTGTATACCCCACTGTAATAAATGTCATTGATCAGGGCCGCCATCAGAAATTTTGGGGCCCCTGACAAAGAACAAGGTCCGGTCCCCTCCTCCCCCACTCCACCCCTACTCCCTCCCTCCCTCCTGGGCCCGCCCACGCCCTACCTAGTCCGCTCACAATGATGCAGGACTGAATGTGTTGTGTATAGTGGAAGTGAATTTGAATGTGTGTAATGGATGTAGTGTTTGTGTGTATCAGATACTGTTTGTGCAGTGAATGCAGAGTGTGTGTTTGTGTAGCAGATGCAGTGTGTATAGTGAATGCCGAGTGTATTTGAGTAGTGGATGTAGTGTGTGTACAGTGATGTAGTGTGTGTTTGTGTAGTGGATGTAGTGTTTGTATGTACTAGATGAAATGTGTTTAGTGGATGCAGTGTCTGTAGTGGATGTAGTGTGTGTATTAGACTCGGTGTCTGTGTATAGTGAATGCAGAGTGTTTCAATTTGTGGTGGATGTAGTGTGTGTACTGTGAATTCATGATGTTTGTGTAGTGGATGCGGTGTGTACAGTTAATGCAGAGTGTATGTTAGTGTAGTGAATGCAGAGTGTGTGTCAGTATAGTGAATCCAAAGTGTGTGCATAGTTTAGTGAATGCAGAGTGTGTGTTAGTGTGTAGTGAATGCAGAGTGTGTCAGTGTAATGAATGTAGTGTGTGTGTAAATTTATAGTGAATGCAGAGTGTGTGTTAATGTATAGTGAATGCAGAGAGTGTGTTAGTGTGTAGCGGATGCAGAGTGTGTGTTAGTGTAGTGAATGCAGAGTGTTAATGTGTAGTGAATGCAGAGAGTGTGTTAGTGTGTAGCGGATGCAGAGTGTGTGTTAGTGTAGTGAATGCAGAGTGTGTTAATGGGTAGCGAATGCAGAGTGTGTGTCATTATAGTGGATGCAGTGAGTGTGTTAGTGTGTAGTTTATGCAAAGTGTATGTTGTATTAGTGTAGTGTGTGTATTGTATTAGTGTATTAGTGTATGCAGTGTGTGTTAGTGTATGCAGTGTGTGTTGTGTTAGTGTATGCAGTGTGTGTTGTGTTAGTGTATGCAGTATGTGTGTGTGTTGTGTTAGTGTATGCAGTGTGTGTGTTGTTAGTGTATGCAGTGTGTGTGTGTGTTGTGTTAGTGTATGTAGTGTGTGTGTTGTGTTAGTGTATGCAGTGTGTGTTGTGTTAGTGTATGCAGTGCATGTTGTTAGTGTATGCAGTGTGTGTTGTGTTAGTGTATGCAGTGTGTGTATTTGTTGTGTTAGTGTATGCAGTGTGTGTGTGTTGTGTTAGTGCACGCAGTGTGTGTTGTGTAAATGTGCAATGTGTAAATTAAATGTAAATGATATTCCCCCCTCCCTGCTTACCTGTGTCCAGGGAGGGGGGAGATTCCATCCGTGGTGGTCCGGTGGGGGGGCCCCCCGGCTCCCTGTCACCGCAGAGGGGGCCCAGGCAGCAAACAGCTTCTCCTCTCTTCTCTCTTCTAATAACTCTCGCGAGACCCGGTTACCATGGCAACGCTCTGCGGGTCTCGCGAGAGTTATTAGAAGAGAGAAGAGAGTAGAAGCTGTGTGCTGCCTGGGCCCCCTCTGCGGTAACAGGGAGCCGGGGGCCCGCGGCTGCACACATAGATAGCGATATTCGCTATCTATGTGTGCAGAAAGGGAAAGTGGGGCCCAAGACTGCCAGAGCAGTCCGGGCCCCCCAGGGCCGCCGGGCCCGTGACAACAGTCATGGTTGTCACCCCCTGATGGCGGCCCTGTCATTGATATAAGCGAGTGGAATGCCTTTGAGGTACCACGAGCAAACCTTTTCAGCTTATATGCACGGGAAAAAAAAGAATAATAAAAAAAAAAAAAGAACACCATACAAATTAGTTCAATGTGTTCAAGTGGCTATTTTTTCCTTTAGCCTGAGTTTGCTAACTTCCTCAAGACTGCCAAACAGTCACGGAAGAAGCAGATCTAAAACACCTGGTGGTCTAAATTCTTGGGACACCTGCTTTTAAAGGCCAACCAATAAACCTTAGCTACATTTGGAGCAGCAAATGTTCCACCTGACTGAGCATCATGGGAAATGTAGCTCAAAACAGCTACAGAGTAAAGATTAGTGATCACTAGGATATATAACATTTGTTTTTGCTAGATGAGTCATTTAAACTAGCTTTCAAGAGGAACGATTACTTCCAGAGAAGTGACATTTTCTCATTCCATTACCCCTGGTAAATGCAATTTCAGCATTTACTGGGTTAAAAAAAAGAAACGGGTAAATTAAAAAAACTACTTACCTCTGCTGCACTTCAGCAATTGCAGCAATTCAGGGTTAACTAATTAAAATATGTTTGGGTGTTTCTAATACAATCTATTGAGTAAAGGCACCCAGACAACTTCATCTTAATGAAATGGTCTGTGTGCAGTTGTCCTTTAGTTTTAACCCTGAAATGTACAGCATAACCATTTAGTAGTATGGCAATGCTTACTTTGTAGGGTTAAAAACACTTCTATTGGATGTTTACCTGACTGCCACTAGAGTCTACTGTGAGAAACGAGTCAAATTTGATTTGTAAGTTTATCTCTAATGGGAGCGCAGCACTGGCAGCACATGTGCGTTTTGTCCCCAATGCTCCACTATGAGGAGCATTGGATTGGACAGTTAGAGTCATCTGCTTGATGTCGCAGGAAGCAGTTTGAGTGGCTGCAGGGACTCGACCTTGGTGCTGTTTCAGTTTTTATTTAGATTTGGGGGATCTGAATTTAATTAACAGTGTTAGGAATTAACTTATAGTGTTAGGAATACAGATTTCTATTCCTAACACGATAGTGATTCTTTAAATATACATTTCAACCCAGTAAACGCTATTGCGCAGTTTTCTGGTTTGAAGAAAAGTAAAACTGTCACTCACTAAAAGGGGGAAGTTCTTATTTAACAATATAAAAAAAAACAGAAACTTTTACAGAACAGTGCAATAATGTGTCAAATGCATTAACACCACTTTACTGACAATTTAACCCCTTCATGACCATGGACGTATCTGGTACGTCTGGCAGAAAACATTCCATAATGACCTTGGACGTACCTGGTACGTCTGCAGCTATTTTGAGCTCTGGAAGCTCTGATAGTATTGCAGTGATGCTCTGCATGTGCGGAGTGCCTCGAGGGGTCCTGGCACTCAGTGCATATACAGGGAGTGCAGAATTATTAGGCAAATGAGTATTTTGACCACATCATCCTCTTTATGCATGTTGTCTTACTCCAAGCTGTATAGGCTCGAAAGCCTACTACAAATTAAGCATATTAGGTGATGTGCATCTCTGTAATGAGAAGGGGTGTGGTCTAATGACATCAACACCCTATATCAGGTGTGTATAATTATTAGGCAACTTCCTTTCCTTTGGCAAAATGGGTCAAAAGAAGGACTTGACAGGCTCAGAAAAGTCAAAATAGTGAGATATCTTGCAGAGGGATGCAGCACTCTTAAAATTGCCAAGCTTCTGAAGCGTGATCATCGAACAATCAAGCGTTTCATTCAAAATAGTCAACAGGGTCGCAAGAAGCGTGTGGGAAAACCAAGGCGCAAAATAACTGCCCATGAACTGAGAAAAGTCAAGCGTGCAGCTGCCACGATGCCACTTGCCACCAGTTTGGCTATATTTCAGAGCTGCAACATCACTGGAGTGCCCAAAAGCACAAGGTGTGCAATACTCAGAGACATGGCCAAGGTAAGAAAGGCTGAAAGACGACCACCACTGAACAAGACACACAAGCTGAAACGCCAAGACTGGGCCAAGAAATATCTCAAGACTGATTTTTCTAAGGTTTTATGGACTGATGAAATGAGAGTGAGTCTTGATGGGCCAGATGGCTGGGCCTGTGGCTGGATTGGTAAAGGGCAGAGAGCTCCAGTCCGACTCAGACGCCAGCAAGGTGGAGGTGGAGTACTGGTTTGGGCTGGTATCATCAAAGATGATCTTGTGGGGCCTTTTCGGGTTGAGGATGGAGTCAAGCTCAACTCCCAGTCCTACTGCCAGTTCCTGGAAGCAGTGGTACAGGAAGAAGTCTGCATCCTTCAAGAAAAACATGATTTTCATGCAGGACAATGCTCCATCACATGTGTCCAAGTACTCCACAGCGTGGCTGGCAAGAAAGGGTATAAAAGAAGAAAATCTAATGACATGGCCTCCTTGTTCACCTGATCTGAACTCCATTGAGAACCTGTGGTCCATCATCAAATGTGAGATTTACAAGGAGGGAAAACAGTACACCTCTCTGAACAGTGTCTGGGAGGCTGTGGTTGCTGCTGCACGCAATGTTGATGGTGAACAGATCAAAACACTGACAGAATCCATGGATGGCAGGCTTTTGAGTGTCCTTGCAAAGAAAGGCGGCTATATTGGTCACTGATTTATTTTTGTTTTGTTTTTGAATGTCAGAAATGTATATTTGTGAATGTTGAGATGTTATATTGGTTTCACTGGTAATAATAAATAATTGAAATGGGTATATATTTGTTTTTTGTTAAGTTGCCTAATAATTATGCACAGTAATAGTCACCTGCACACACAGATATCCCCCTAACATAGCTATAACTAAAAACAAACTAAAACTACTTCCAAAAATATTCAGCTTTGATATTAATGAGTTTTTTGGGTTCATTGAGAACATGGTTGTTGTTCAATAATAAAATTAATCCTCAAAAATACAACTTGCCTAATAATTCTGCACTCCCTGTATAATACTATATATTAAAAAATTAAATAGAAAAGAAATAAAATGATCAATATTAACCCCCATCCCTTTCTAAAGGCAGTGAATCATGGGGCTTCTGGGGGTGTCCCTAGCATGCCGCATCATAAGGGGCAGGCTGGGGTCATCCAATCATAGCTTGCCCCATTACCAATTTCATCCCAAGTGTGTTCCCCATTTCTCTGATTAGTGTGGATCTGCCTCCCTCTCCTCACTTGTGCTTTAGTGAGAGAAGGAGAGAGATCTGTGGTTTAGCTAGAGAGATTTAGGTGTTTATAGGTAGGGATTTGTAAACTCTTGAGACCCAAAGGCTCTTTTCAGAGCCATTAACCCCTGTCTTGCCAGTGATCACTATAATCACCGGCTTTTGCACAGCAGTAATTGTCTGCTGTTTGTGCATATTTTTTTTCTTTTTTAGGGGTTCATTTTTTGTGAATTTTTTTTTTTTTTTGAGACCCAAAAGCTCTTTTCAGAACGATTAACCCCTGTCCTGCCTGTGATCACTCTGCAGATCACAGGCTCTTGCACAGCAGCACTTATTTTGCTGTCTGTTCATTTTTTTTTTAGGGGTTATTTTTTTTTTTTTGTGACAGGTCACTAAGTAAAGCGATTGTGATCATGTCACATGGGTCACGGAAGTCAACCAGCGCTGAGCAGTCATATGCCACCCTTGCGCTAGAGTCTGACGCGTCTATGTCAGACTCTGACCCTGATTTTGACCCAGCCAGGTGCTCAGATACATCATCACTAGATACAGTGTCTGCTGCTAGTGATGCATCTAGTGATGCTGTATCTGTGCCTGCTAGTCCCCCTGCCCGAAGGAGACGTGCTGCTACAGCTGGCAGAACTGCTGAGGAGTGGGTAGTGCCTCATCGCCAGAGGCCAGACATCCCATCCTTTACTGCAAATCCTGGCATTAATTTGGATGTCACAGGATTTAGCCCTCAGCAGGTTATGGAGGTGTTTCTGGGCGATGATGTATTGGGGAACATTGTCGCCCAAACTAATTTATATACCTATCAATTCAGAGCTACAAATCCTGACTCTTTTTTGGCAAAGCAGCAATGGGCCCCCATCGATGTGCCAGAATTTAAAAGATTCTGGGCATTGACTATGCTGATGGGCATCATAAAGAAGCCCTCCATCCGCTCCTACTGGAGCAGTAGCCCCATCTGCTCTACCCCCATTTACTCCC